GATATCCACACTTCCAAAAGACAGAGATAGAGAAAATTGTTAAGTAGATGCTTGAAGCAGGAGTCATAAGGGCTAGTGTTAGTTCAAACTCCTCTCCAGTCTTATTAGTAAGGAAGAAGGATGGTTCTTGACAGATGTTTGTAGATTATCGAGCACTTAATAATATTATAGTGAAAGATAAGTATTCTATTCCAGTAATAGACGAGTTACTTGATAAATTGAGAGGTGTATAAGTTTTCACTAAATTGGATTTACAATCTGGCTATCACCAAATTCTTGTACATGAAGATGACAGCCAGAAAACTACTTTTAGAATGCATAATTGTTACTATGAATTTTTGGTAATACCTTTTGGGTTAACCAATGCATTGTTTACTTTCCAGAGTTTAATGAATGTTTGTAAGTTTGTTCTGATTTTTTTATATGATATTTTGATATATAGCCCATCTTTAAAAAGTCATTTATTACATTTGCAGGTTGTCTTTACCCTTCTTCATAAGTATTATCTTTTTGTCAAGAAATTGAAATACAACTTTACGCAATCGGAGGTGGAGTATCTTGGCCATGTTGTTTCTCGAGAGGGTGTTGCAGTTAATCCTTCCAAAATTCAAACAATGAAAGATTGGCCAATTCTAAAATCAATTAAGGCTTTGAGGAGATTCTCATGACTCATTAGCCATTATCGAAATTTTGTGAAAAACTATGACAAAACCAGTGCTCCATTCATATCACTTTTGAAGAAAGATGCATTTAAGTGGACAGAAGAAACTACTCAAGCTTCTATTTCTCTTAAGTATGTAATGACTATTATGCTAGTTCTTGCTTTACCAGATTTTAACAAATTATTCGTGATTAAATTTGATACTTCTGGAGCGAATATTGGAGCTGTACTAATGCAAGGTCATTCAATCGCTTATACTAGTAAGACACTTTCCCCATCTCATCTGAGTCTATCTATTTATGATAATAAAATGTTAGCCATTATTCATGCAGTCACTAAGCAAAGGCCTTACTTAATTGGTCAACGGTTTCAAATATGCACCGATCACAAAAGACTGAAATATTTTCTTATAAAGGGTTTCTTCTTTAGAGTAGCAAAAATGGGTCACTAAGTTATTGGATTTTGACTATGATATTATTTATCAGGGGAGCAAGACTTTGGTTGCAGATACACTTTCTCGCCTTCCAAAGCAAGCTGAATTAATGGCTATTTTTATTTCTACTTGCAAAACACTAGAATTTATTAGGAGCGAATGGTTGGATGATCCTGAAATCCAAGATGTTATTAAAAGGCTAGAAAAAGATCCAACTTCTATTCCTAATTACAGTTGGGATCTCATAGATTTGCGCTATAAAGGTAGAACTATCTTAGCACCAAATTCTTCTTGCCAATATAATCTTGAAAGAGTTTCATTCATCACTAACTGCGGGTCATTCTGGATTTCTTCGTACATGTAAATGCATCTGTCAACTTTTTTATTGGAAGGGTATAAAGAAAACCATCAAGAAGTTACAGAATGTGATGTTTGCCAACACCAGGTGAGACAGTTGCTACCCTTGGTTTGCTTCAGCCTCTTCCTATTCCTGATGATGCTTGGACTAACATATTCATGGATTTTATCAACGAGCTTCTATCATCTCAAGGTAAAACCACCATCTTTGTGGTTGTGGATTACCTTACAAAATATGTTCATTTTTGTGCTATACGACATCCTTATACTGTTACAGGTGTTGCTCGCACTTTTGTTGAGAAAATAATGAAGTTGCATGAAATTCTACATTTCATTGTTAGTGATCGAGATAAAGTTTTTACTAGCACCTTTTGGAAAGAGCTCTTTTGCTTATAGGGAAACCAATTGAATATGAGCACTACTTATCGCCTACAAATAGATGGGTAGACTGAAGCGATAAATAAATATCCAGAAAACTATCTCAGAAGCTTTACTAATGAAAAACCAAAGGAGTGGATGAAATGGCTTCCTTGGAAAGAATGATGATACAATACCACTTATCACTCTTATAATAAAATGACTCATTTTGAAACAGTTTATGGTCGACCTCCTCCCATGATTACAAAATACATGCTTGGTACTTTTAAGGTTGATCAAGTGGACAAGAAATTGTTTAATAAAGATAATATTATTCAAATTCTAAGAGATAATCTCAATCTCACAAGCTAGAATGAAGCATCAGCTGATAAGCATTGTAGTGAGCGAGAGTTTGCAATAGGCGATTGGGTTTTCCTTTGACTTTAATCTTACAAGCAAAATTCTATAAAGGTTCGGTCTTCTATGAAGCTATCTCCTCAATTCTTTGGGCCTTATAAGGTGCTGGAATATATTGGCCCAATTACTTATCGTTTGGACTTGCCAACAAGCTCCAAGATAGATATATTCAGTTTTTCATGTTTCTTGCCTTAAAAAGAAATTAGGTGAGGATGATGTGGTGCAACAACATTTGTTAGATATTTTTTCTATTGGTGAGGTTCAAATCCTGCCTCAAGCCATACTTGATTAACATATTGTGATGCACCATAAATATCCTGTCATTGAGGTGCTTGTCCAATGAGCCAACTTACGAATCGAAGATGCCGCTTGGGAGTCTTACAAAGGGTGGAGAAGTTTCCAAAATTCATTACTGCTCAGCCTCGAGGATAAGACTATTTTGGAGAGGCAAAAAATATTAGGATTCCTTAATTTTAGGAGGCCTTAATTTTAGGGATTTGATATTAGTCTTTGTTTTCCTATTTAGTTTTTTTCTAATTATGGTATGAGTCCTTCGATGTAGCTAAGTAGGGATTACTATTTTTATTTATTTCTTTTGTTAAAAATCCTAGTCCTAGTTGACTAAGGATTAAATAACTCTATATATGTGTAATGTCTTTGACTATTTTTCTCAAGCAATCAAATACAATTCAAAGCCTTGGGCCAATTTAGAGGTTGATCCCTCGAAATGATCAAATTCCTATCTCTTGTTTTTAGTTTTCTTTTCATTTTTTTCCAAAGTTTTTAGATAAAATCCTAGAGTTTTACCAAAAACATTGAAAAATCTGTTCTATTTGCAAGTGAAAAAAAGGTTGCAAGTAGGTCTTGGCCTAGCCTAGTGGTTACACTCTTTTCCTCAATGATGTTTTGTGTTTTAAATATTGAAGAATGTGGCACAGATTATTCCTAACCAGAGGTGATGTCCCCATTGACCGTATCGTACCAGTGGTGCCATTTGTATCTGATGACACATATGAGTGGTATTAGTAAAGTGCATGGTCAAGAGCCAAGAAACACTACCACACATAATCATAAGCATGTCAACATGGCAATTGATACTCCTATCTGTTGTCATGAAGCGTAGATAGAAACCAATTATTGGAAGGAAAACTTGGTCTCCTCAGTTGCTTCTCTCTCCAGAGAAAAAGAAAAGGCTACAATAGTAGAGAAGATGAGAGAAAAACACCAAGTAGAGTGAATTGAAGCTAAAAGGGAAAGTACACTAGCGGCAGCTATCATCATGCATGAGCATATCTCTCAATTTGTTGTTCTCATGTGCTCCCATGTCTACCAACTAAACAACCTTAGAAGAATATTTTTCTATAAATAAATAAGCCCAACTTAATTTAAATTTAGAAATTTATAATTACTAATTATTTTAGGAAATGATTTTAAAGCAAAAGCTAAAAGATACACAAATCAAATAAGATCTCTACAAATGGGCTTGATGGAGTTCCGACTTTAAATGTCTTAAACAATTCTACAACTTTAAACTTTTGGGAATTACACTGAAAGAATAAGTGTGATAGAACTACAAAAAATCATTAGCCTGACATGCAGTAACTTCTGCATTGCATCAAAGCCACAGACTGAAACTTTGGTGAAAGATTTGGAATGCCTGCCTCCACCAAATTCAAGGTTGAAATTGCATGATGTCAACCTTTAATTTACTAGCAAATATCAAATTATTATCCTAGGTTACTAGCAAAAGAACATTCACTCACTGCCATACACATCTACTTTTAGGAACATGTTTGACTGTTAGACATAAAAAACTAAAAGATCTTTTTATATTGAACTCCTAAAGAAAGCTTGATTTAGATAGGAAGAAACTAGGTGCCATCAACACAAAAATATTAGTAATGTTTAAAGCGAACCGAGTATGGAACTACACAAAATGGTGCTAGAGAACAATGGGCCATTGAGATTTACTTGCAGATTTATCCCCACAAAAAGAATGCAGGTGCTAACCTTGCTGCTACAAACTTCCTTATTTGTCGCAAGACAACCACCATTGACATTGGTTCTGCTAATATAAAGCTCACTCAAGATCAATAACTGCAAATTTAGTCTCCTTTATTAACCACACAAGCCAGGGTCAATCTTCCTATAATGCTTGGCATATCAAAATGACTTGGCACCAACAAGTTAAATCAATGATAGTTCGGACTAATTTGACATAAATAAGAGATCTGAACTTGAAAATTCGTGCACCCGAGGAACTTTGTCAAGCTGCTTTGCAAATCCTCAAATTCATTACAACTTACACAACTATTCATGTAAATCCTCCCTTCAATAGAAATAGAACTTTCTTTCGATTTGCTATGCAAGATTCTCCACCTCATGTTTCTAAGTATCACTCACCACAATGTTGAGTCACTCTGGTTTTACCTCTTGTCACGAAACTAAATCTCATTGCCACAGTATTTGCTGGATCTTAAGAAGCTTCATCAATCCTTCAAACTCAGGATGAGAAATGTTCATACCATGTGCTTCCTAAACAAAGCAAATCGAGTATATTGGGATCCGTAAGGTGCACAAATCTGGTTCCTGAAACCCTAAATATAGTTCCAGACGATCAATCATTTATGCTAGCTAACATGCCCGCTCGATTTAGGCACGATACCAAGAAATATGCTGGTCATGTCCGTACGTAGATAAGAAAACAAGAACAGAGCACCACAAACACACGGAACAAATCGGGAGGAAACGAAATAGGGAGTTCGATCGAATTACCGGGCGGAGGCATCGGAGGCGGCGTAGGAGGAGAAGAAGGAGACGGTGGCCCATTCGTACTTGGGTCGCATCTGGTACTCTCTCAGCTGCTCCACAAGGTTCGATCGCGTTATCATCCTTCCCGATCCAAACGAAGGACGAGACCAGATCGATCGCCTTCTATATGTCCTACGTCTGTCGAATCTCCGCTACGAGGGAGAAGAGATGGACAGGCCTCTCTCTCGCGGCGGTCGATCGAGCATTCGCGATTTCGAGGGAATCAACGCACAAGTCGACGCCCCCCTTTCCTCGAGAATTCCCGATCCGATCAGATCGGTTCTTCGCGTGTCGGATTCCTTTTTACTGGAGTGGCGCCAAGGCTGATTACCCTCGATCAATCGGCCGGGATTGGGGCTTGCTATAATATAATATAATATAATATAATATTATATTATATTATATTATATTATATTATATTATATATATATATATATTATATGTTTAATTTGTAAATTTGGGCAAACAAAAATTCTTTTTGTTTATCATCAAATTTAGCTATCTACAACTATATTGTTTTTTCATTGTTCCTATTTATGCTTTTTTTTTTTTCTAGAATAGTATTGTTTTAACATTGGGCCATTTCTCTATGAAATATCCATATTTTAGGTATTTGTCAAAAGATGTCCCTCTTTTGTTTTTGTTTTTTTTTCAAACGGTATACTTAATTTTTTTAAAAAAAATCTAAAATACACTTCAAAAGCTTTTTTTTTTTCAAAATTTCTTACCTTTTTTTAAATTAACTATTAAAATATTTAACTTGTTTAAAGTATTTTTTAATAATATTTATATATTTCATTAAGCTATTAAAAATATTGTAAACATTATTGAAAGATAATGTAAGTAGTAACATTATATTGTGTTTCTTTGGTTGTCATTGGTCATACAATATCATATTTTTTGACTTGTAATTAGTTTGGTTAAGTTTAAACCACTTAGATCATTTACAATATTTTTTTTTGAATAAATTGTGATAGATCAAAATACTATAATAGACGGAGAAATTTTGAGATGATAGTTTGACTATAAATTAGGAGTATTGTTTGAAAAAAAAAAGTAAGATGGGAAGTAGCAAGTGAAAAAATATCCAAAAATATAGATATTTTTTAGGAAAATCTTAACATTTCATGTTGATTATCTTAATGTTTCATGCCTAACTTTTATTTCTCCGTAATTAACTGTTGCTTGATTCATCAATTATCATTAATGGAGGAATCAAGCCCCACCAAAAAAATATATATCTAATGTCTTAACCATCTATTTATTTTCGTTTCTCAAGCAGAAATTGCAGAGTTCTTTCTTTCTTTTTGTGAATCGACAACCACCTGTGTAATATCGAATTCTCTTGCCAGTAAAAAAATAGCATAACATGTAGTTCACTGAACACTAGTCTGCATTGCACATTAGCTCCTGTGTAAACAAGTGCTCATGAGTGAATCTTGTGAGATCATGATGCACATAGGCATGACTCAGCCTGGCATGCACATAAGCATGACTCAGCCTGGCATGCACATAAGCAAGTGACTGACAATAGTACTAGCATATAGATATGGAATCAACCACACATGAATCTGCAAGTCACCAGCATCATTTTGTTCTGCAACTTGGTCCAGATACAAACTCAACTTTATTTGGCAGAGATGCAGTTCAACTCAAGAAATAGAATACACAGGAGAAGATTACTTACAGAAACAACCCTCTCATCCTTGTTTGTTCCTCCCCGCCCCCCCCAATTATGTTATAAGGACAAAATTTCTGATGATACAATCTTGTAAGGACCTCATTGTGGATAACTTTCTGATGGTTATAATGGAGTATAATGAATTACATGGTTAGTGTATCAGGAAGAGCAGTTGGTGCTCCCAAAATCTTACCACCAACATCGGGAAAATACTCATGGTTGGGCAGAGGCCGGACCTTACCATCAGAATCCACCTTGATAGGGTACTTCAGTAGGTGACCCTTGAGTGGTATTATTTCGTCTGCGGTGTATCTTGACCAGTTATCTTCCGCTATCCTATTTACGAAGTTTACACATTCCGTGCTATCAGGCTTCTCGAAGCGATCATCTACCATGCCTAGATGCTCTGCCCACAGTGACATCCGATATCCATATACCTGGAGCAGTTCAAATTTTCTTTAATATGGAGTGCACTTAGGATAATACAGTATGGTTTATCAAGTTTATATTTTCTCTAAAACTATTGGAAGTTAGCAGCTTAAATTTTCAAGTATCCTGTAGTGATACTTCGAGTACAAGCTTGAAATTGCAATAAATGCTATGATACGGATTCACAGGCAAACCCAGAGGGCTTGTAAGTTAGAAACCTATTGCAAGTCAAATGTTTTATTAGCACCAATTACCACAAAAGCACTCAAGATTATAAAATCCATCCAATCAGTGAACCAAATAGCTGATTCTGTTTGCAAATTGAAATAAACTTAGTATCTCAGATCTACTCATTGGCGAATTAGTTTATGCACATACACTCCATTCTTCAGCTACATTTACAACTGAACTTTGCATAAAGAGTTTGATTTCACCAAAACCTGGTTTATTGTTCCTAAGATGGCAATGTAAATAATTAAGAGTGAAATTGGATCACTTTACATTAGTCACTGCACCAAATTGGCTAAACAGTAAGGAAGATTATCACACCATCCTATCTCCATGAAAGGATCATTATGGTTAGAAGTGGAGGAACTCCTATAAAAGATTATCTTTCAGGCAGGAAATGCTAGATACATGAAATCACCCTTACGTTACACATTAATGTATATTGAAGTTTGGAGATGGTTCGATAATGGTATACTAAGCTTTCAAATACATATGATGATACAGAAACTAGAAAGAGAGAGCATGAAATTATAATTAATGCCACTAACCTGGCCATGTGGATGTCTTTTGTTCTTAGTCCATGTATGATTAGGTTGATAAGCTCCCATGGCTATCTCAGTATCTCTTGAGCCAGCCAAAGATCTTTGGTTAATATTGGCTGAACCAATCATCACATACTCATCATCTACAATCATCCCTTTTGCATGAACATATATCATGAACCGTCGGAACTTTTGTGACAGTGACTGAGCTTATTCAAGATGGAATGGTAACAGTATTAGTTGTGAAGCACAGTAAAAGATTTGATAAGACAATACCTGTTTATATTTCAAAAATTATCTAGAGTATGACATGTCAAATACTGTTTCCATTTGAGTTAATTTGCAATTACAGTACAAATTTTTGCAAGGAAATGGTTATTAAGCAAATTACCTGCACATGACAAGAACAAAATAAAAAATGTTTGGCATTATGTGAAGACTGCAAGGCCTAATGCAGACTTGAAACAATCCATAAGAAATATAGGAACTTTTGGAATTGAAGTGTGTTCTTACAAACTAAGAATACCACCAAAAGAGCAAACATGGAACTGAGCTATAAAGATTCAGCAGACAAATATTCAATGTTTGAATTACCTCCACACCAAACTGTACTGTATTGGAATTTGATATTTTGTTAAATGGGTCTACTCATATGATTTTGGGCCCAATATGATAAAAATGGTGAAGTGTCTTTCTAGAAACATGCAAGTGAGCATACTCTCGGAAAAAACACTATTGAAGAAAAAAAAAAAAACCTTTAAGTATTATGCTGGCACAATTTGTTGTTGACACATTTTGGCACCACATGGTGTGGTCGGGACACACCGTGCGGACCAATAGAGCCATACACACCAATGCTACAATAAGACAATTCTTTTATTGTAGAAGTAAATAACTCGATGTTTTCTAATTGGTGATTGCAAGAAAAAGAAATTACTTGAGAAAAGAAATTCAAATTATGTCATTGATACAGTACCATTGGGCTTTTATCTAAAGATTGCTGTTGCAAGTTTTCCTTTGGTGCTATTTCACGATTGCCAAGACAATAGAAATTAAGGAAATCTTGTGGATGTGCATTTTCAAGGTTCATGGATTTAAGCTCCTGTGCCACAATTTCATACATCATCTTCATTGTCTGGCCCTGCAAAGATCATAAATATTAATAATAAATTCTACTACATAGAAGAATGAAATCACAAAAATTTTAACGGCAGGGAGGATGAGCTCCATAGCATCTTAAAAGATGATGTCAAATTATCAATATGTGGTTCTATGGGGAGAGAATTCCATGATGGCATGCAACAATAGGTGATTCACCACAGACATGCTTTCTCCAGAAATAACAAACATGCTTTCATAAGATTACCATGATTAAAATCTTGACATACACAGTTTTCTGAATAATGATGATTATTAATTAAAACACATGGCAAACTTTTGGTAACACTGTTGATAAAATATTAAATCTTGCAAAGTTTCTTTCACAAAGTTTGACTTTCAAGCATGACCTACTTATCTGATGAGCCAAGATGGAAAAATTATGTGGATGATTCATCACCAATCAGTGCATCTAGTATGAAAAAGGATATGAGTCAGAAAGGAAGAGACATATTAGTCCATCATTTTAATTTCTAATTAATTATGACCTGTAGCTAGTAAAATTTCTAGGTTTATATTAATCACAATGCTTAGCTTAAGTTCTAAAAAAGCTAAATCGCATCATTCTGTTGACTGAAAGATCAATACTAGAATATATGAAGGTCATTCCTCAGAAGCATTTGAACACTACCTTCTAAAGTAACATGATACCTGCCAAAAAAGAATTTCTTGCACAGCATTGGAAGTTGGATCTCCTTCAGGCCACATTGGTATAACAACATAAACTGCAAAACGTTCTTTTGCTCTAATTTTGCTGGCAATTTTCAGAGCTAACTCCACAGGTATTAGATTATCAGCACCTATTGATTCCAAAATAGTTTCAAACTTAATGAATCTTGCATATAGTACAGGCAGAAAGTAGCAAGAATGAAATTTGGCACTAGAACATGATGCCATTAATTTTGTTGCAGATATTTAGGCAACTGCCAAACTCTATTGAATGAATAATGGTTGGTGCTTATAAATTAGTGGTTCCTTTGTCAAGTAAACTCTGCATATGTTACTTTATGAGGTGATGCTAACTAAGCATCATCTAAGAAAAATTTAAAATTATAAAATAATTGATATAGCTATTAAGCAAAAATGATTGTCATAACCAAAACTGTTGCAGACAATTTAGTTTGCATAATTGGCCTTCACACAATTCAATCTTCAAACCACAAAGTCAATGTTTTTCAGAAAAAAAATTTACCTTCACAAAAGATGGTAAAAACAATATATATACCATCAGATCTATCCCTCCCATCTATTAGTTTTCTTATTATATGATCTATGAACTCTTGCATTGGTACCTATAAATATTGCTGGTAATACATTCAGAAACTATGATTGATGATAGAAGCATGTATGAAACAAAAGTGACTTGATAACACACATCCTGTCCTATGGATACTGTTGGCTAAATTTGGGTCATTCTCTGGATATGTATTTTGCATTGTATCTAATTCTATGAAAAGTAGGTAATTCTATGATGCTTGTTGATGCTTCAAAAAATGTCTATTAGCAGGGCTTCTAGTCATCAGATAATAACATACTAATGACAGAGAGATAAATCATTAATTTCTGGTTTTCTGATATTTAGTATCATTAGATAGAGAGCTTGAGGTTCAGGATATTGACTTCATTTACAGAGCATTATACCATGGTCAATAGAGTTTTGCAGTCAATTATATGCAGTTATGCATTTCTTGGTGGTATAGATCACAATTTCTAACAAAAGCACTTGAAAATCAAAATGATTCCTGTGTTCTGAAATATAAGCAGGAGGATGTAGATATGTGATTGCTGCAAAACTATACCACAGGGGATTCAGCAAACCTGAGTTTTTATAAGATGGCCAAGCAAATGAAGAACCAAGAAAATACTGATTTTCAATGTATATGAAATGTTGAGCAGATCTGATTGCCTTCACATATGCTGTGTGGATGCTCTTATCAATGACCAGATTCTTTCGACAAACAAGATTCTGAAAAAGTCAATAAAAGATAATAAATAAGACAGAAAAAAGGTACTGGAACTGTAAAGTTCTAGTGAAATACTTGACAAAACAAGCATTTATATTATTTTTCTAAAAAACCAAAGTATGCATCCACTTGATCTCCACTTGTCAATAATGACAAAGGTGAATAGTTACAAAATAGATGCTAGCATCTCCACCAAAGCCAAACACTGACCATTTTCAGAGATTCTTGGACATTGCTGGGAAATCCTTTTACTGATCCAGAGTCTATAGATCGAAAGATCTGACAAATTAAAGAAGATCATGAAGCTTTGAGTAACATTTAAACTAAGCCTGAAGGTATTTAGCAGCTAATTAGTGGCGTACTACCTGAACATGCCAGTTTTCAGGGTCTTCTTCCTGGGAAACCCATAGACTCGGATCACCATCTGGAACAGAAAGTGAAGGACTAAGTATCCATGAAATTCGTTCAAGATGTATTAGTGCATCATCATGCCATCGAGATGCTTTTCTAAAACGTAGACTAAATTCCCGCCATTTTGTTGCCTTTCGCCAGCGCTGCTCAAAATTCTTTAGGATATCATAAGCAGCAGGGCCTTCAATTTTGCAATGTAAATCATGCCACGGTTGTCTTGGGCCTTTAGTTCCTGCCTAAACAAAATAAGAAATAATGAAAAATCAATAAAGTTACATCAAACAAATGGTATGCCAAAACTCCTAGATCTCCATTAAGCAAGCATGTTTATCTTCGGCTTTAACAAAAAGCTTGCAGTATATATAAATCAGATAAGTAGTAACCTTGGGCTGGGCCTCTAGGTTTTGCCTAAATAAAACCAGAAAATACAAAGAGAAGCTCATAGAGTAGCATAAAATCCATAAAATCTCAAACCTCCTATATATGTCTAATAATCAAACATGTTTATCTAAGGGCCTCTGCATGTAGCTTGCTGAATCTATAGGTCCTTAAATGAGGAATCATGAATTTCCTATATTCTTAGATGTTGACATTGTTGTCTAGACACAAAAGGAAAATTATCTGTCATATGCATGTGTGTGCCATTAACCAAAAAAAGAAATGACACAACTTATTGGCGTTTCATATTTTATCAATGGCTTATAGAAAATTCATATCCAAGATTAGGTGCACAAGAACTTCGAATCTGTAAAAGTCTTCCTCATGTAGACACTGCAATCACCTAAATTCTGTACAGAAACATAGAGAAGCATTATCATTCAATCTGGAGTGTGAGGTCATATATATCCATCCAACCAGAAATCATGATGCAAATCATGTTACTTCACATGGTGGATGGTTCAATGATTAATATATATTGATGTCACAAACAAAATTTTCCAACTTCAAAATTTATTATTAAGAGTTGCTATTCAGTAGATGGTGTACATAGTAAACAAACATAGCAAGTTGCATCCCAAAACCACTACTCTAGAAGATTAAATCAGAATGCAGAAAATGAACTCACAGCAAACGTGGGATTATGGATATCATTCAAAAAGACTGTGTCCATATCACAAAAAAGTCTATGATCTGGAGTATCATAGCGGCCATCACAAAGATCTAGGCCTCCAATAAAAGCAGTAATTTTTCTCTTATTTCCAGAAGCCTGTGTATCAACCAGTACACATTTCTGATGGTGTGTGAAAAGGGTACCTACCACCTGTATGAAGAGAATAAACAAGGTAACCATACTGCGAAATAGAAGTAGGATTAGAAAACATTGACTAAAATTCTCGCTTGTTCTTCCTAAAGATTTCAAATTTCTGCTCAACAGATAAGGATTCTCCAGTAGGAATTATTAATATCACATATAGATGCTTAAAACTGAATAAATGGGATCACTCAAGCAACTTTTATCATTATCATAAGATATTATAGTCAACAAAAGAAACATATTATTAATTGAAATTAAAGTGATAACTAGTAAAATACAAACAGTAGAGTACTGTTCAGTTACTGTCTGGTATGCACGGTTCATTGTGCTCTCCAGAGATATAGTCCATACCAAATCAAAAAGGGCGAAACTGTCCTGTTCATGTACAGGTCCTTACTGACTTATATGGTTAGTATTTGAATCTATGCAGAAACTGTGTCAAATTATCAAAAATATATCCAACAAAAGCTTTTAATAGATCAAATACAATTTGAGGCTATGCCCATGTGTTGCTTGAGTGTAAGCCTCATATCACCAAGAACTTATTTGTTTCATTCAAAAGAAATTTAGAACAAAATATTTCAGGATCCAACATACAGAAAGATACTAAACTGCTCCCATTTAATTTTTAGCAGTGGAGAATTTCCTCGCAAGGAAAAAATTCCTACAATGGAGAAACCTCAATTATGGAACTATAGAGTAGTGCCCTATATTTGTTCAAGTTCGAAGTCGATCCAGGTTAAATGACTGTTGCATTATCAAACAATCTTTCTCAATTGAAATAATATAAGCACTAGTGTTACATAGACTACCAAATTGATGGACACAAATGGCAAATGGTCAAATTAGTATGCACTTTAACCCTGTTGATTAGTCTTTATGTTCACAAAACATTAAAGTTACCAGAATACAAGGTTTAACCATAGATATGGCATCAAATGTAATTCTCATGGGACTTTTTCTTGTTGCTACTTTTCCAATATATTATTTATCAAATGTTGCAGTTTTCACTCTAAAACATGTAAACTCATGCATTGTCAAAATTATCTAGACAAAGTGCTAGGCTATATAATTCGATAATAAGATTATTCACATAATTCGATGGTTAGCAGCTATCGGACATTTTAGCTGAAGGGATCTTTTCATCTACTTATAACTGAATACCCATGTAAAATTTAACTAGATTGTATAGAGAAAGAAGAATAACACTATCAAAAGATATGGTGGTGTGAAGCTTGCCTGCTGCTTGACAATGCTAAGCTTACTGCTGGCATAACGAGGTGATAACACACAAATAACAGAGGAATGCTTGAAAAACTTCCGTGTCTCTTCGTCATGAGTTTGCATTACACCGCCCTGCAAAAATTATATGCAAATGCAGATCAATCATTTTTATTCATACGTCTCACTACATTAGTTTACTCAGAAGTAGCCTTCTTTAGCTTTGCTGCTATTCCATTAATATATATTCTATACATATAGTGTTATGCATCATCCTTTTAGACTGGATTCCTGCAAGAATAACTATGGCATGTCACTTATGACAGCATATGAATCACAAGGGTAGCTAGTAAAGATAAAGGGGAAACCATGATCTAAAATATGAATAACAAAAAATTAAACACTAGAATCAATTTAATCCAGAAAAAGATTGCATTTTTTTTATAAATTTTGTACTTTCAATTAGCAATACATCTGATAAGGGTAAAGGCTTTAGATAGTATATTAGTTGCTACCTGCCTCTCAAAAGAATCTTCTAAGCACCCTTTGGTAGAGGCTTCACTCACATGGTTTTCGAACTCAAGTCATGACAAATATGGTAAAAAAAATTGCCACTCGTGATGTGTGAAACAAGTTGGAACCTTTTATGCCTCCTGGCAAATATCTGATCTACCAATGTAACAACATGGTTGGCCATGTTGCCTCTGCTATCCGAACATCATCTGCAGGGATCTTAGTAAGACGTGTGTTTGTCTAAAGTTGAGGAAATTGTGATAACTAAACGGCCCCATATTATATGTGATCCAAGGCTTTAGGCAGTGTATGAAATGCTATTGATCTCCAAAGAGGATCTTCAGTGTACTCCTCAATGTAGCTCAGTCCTGTGATTTTCAAGCCTGAGTCATGACAAGGTTACCATGTTTTCATAAGCTATTTTTTGTAGATCTCTAACGATCTTACATCCTAGTGATCTCTCAATTGGCTCTAAATATTATACTCCACGAAACACCCTAAGCACAAACTTATGATGAAATCTAAGTGACCTTCTTGATGGAAATTATGTATAGATTAATGGCCAAAACCTCAAAGCAACTTTCTCGTTTGTGGCAAACCTCTAGATGATTTTGTTGTTGCAAAATAACATTAAAAACTAATCATATCCAGTATTATGTTTAAAATTCATCAACATGCTGGATGAATTATATGTGTACTACAGGCTTCTGATGTTCAATGCATGTTATCATATGAGGTAGCACCTAAGAGTAAAGACATGCATTTTTGAAAGCTTCTTGGTCCATAATAGATTGCAACTGATGTCATTCTCTTGATTCAGTAGTGTCAAGGAATCTGAAAAGGACATTATCATATGAAATAGAACCTAAGAGTAAAGACGTGCCATCTTGAGAGCTTGTTGGTTCATAATAGACTACAACTATTGTCATCCTTTAATTCAGTAGTGTCGTGGCCTACAAGACCTACTAACCCAATAACTTATAACTAGTGGTTCTTGGCAAGAATTAAAATTTTGTACCATACCAAAGTTTCTAGATTCGCTCGGTACGGTACTGTATACCGAACGATATATTTCATTATACCACTCGGTATGTATGTGTGTGTGTGTGTATATATATATATATAAGTAATAAAAAAATCATTTTCACTGAGGCGATGTCGCCTCTCTTCTCCCTGCGATGCCAAGGAATCTTCTCCCTACGTGGATGAGAAGTCATCGACAGACGAGGAGGGAGAGCGGAACCGATCTCCAGGTTCTCCTCTTCTTCTCCCTTTTCTTTCTTCCCCTTCTCCCTCAGTCACCGCCCGATTTAGGATGATAACGGGGTGAAAATAGCCCCAATTGACGATACCTCCCAGTAGCGGACGGTCCATGTACCGATTTGCTAGCGGACTGATACGTACCGCCCGGTACGAGGGGTATCATTTGAAATTAAAGACCTTAGTTCTTAGGCACCCAGAAAAGTTTAAAGTCAAGCATAATAGTAGTGGTAAGCTCAATTAGTCAAATATACTAGTTTAACCAAGGTTTCTCGTGCCACGGTATATCGTTAGGTACTGGTGGTATGTACTGATCCGATTGGGGACTGGTACACAATCCACCCTGTACCGGGTGATATATGCTAAATGATCCCATATCGCCCAATATGGGGTTTGTACAGTTAAAATCCGATCATTTCTGACTTGTACTAGTCGGATTTTGACCATTACCGATGAACAACTTAGATCTGACCAATTCTAATTATCAGATCCATTTGAAAGGAGTTTTAAGCCCTTTTCTCCAACTCTTTCACTCTCTCAAACTTTCCTACTCTCTCAATCACTTTTTCACTCAATTCTTTTTCTTATTTTCACACTTGTACTCTCTTAAAACTTCATAAAGCTGCGATTTGTAATTTGGATCAAGCTTGGAAGGCTAATTCGAGAGGACTAACATCTAAGTTAGAGGAAGAACTCTCTAATCAATTGTACTACAAAGGGAGGATTAACACATCGATTACTTGATTCATTTGAATCTTAAAGTTTAAGTTGTTTAAATTTTTTTGCAGATAATTCAATACCAACGAAAGGATGGTTTAGAACATACCACAAAACTGCTCCTCAAAGCCCAAAAAAGATATGTCACTATTTTTTTAATTTAGATTATTTTTACTAAATTTATATTTATTTTCAACTTAAAACCCCTAATCTAAATTTTTTTCTATTTTTAAAAAAAATTGGAGCTATTTTTTTATCATTTTCTTGTGTTGTCCATATGCCCTCCGTACTGACACATGGTACACTGGTAGGGGGTGATACATACAATACCGTCGATCGACCAATATACTAGTTTGGACCGATAAGACGAACATTGGGTCTAACCCTATCTCATCTCTCAATGTATAGGGTGTCATAGTATCCCCAAAAATCAATAGGTCACCATGACCATACACAAACTTCGATGACTAATTTTATTCGACTCTAAAATTAAAAATAATAGTAGTAAAAATCATGTTAACGATTGATGCAAAAATGAAAGTAAAAGCTTAGTTAAGAGAAATAATAAGTGTAAGAGAAATAAAAAGTACAAAAATGTCTTTCTAGAAAAGGACTTGGGGCTTTGCTGCTTTGCCAGTTTTAATCAAGGACAAGCAGACTGAAAAAAGAAAGGCACTCTCATTTCCAATTAGTGATGCAACACTTGAACTTTCATCTATGGACTTTCATCTATGGACATATAGTGTCAGGATTTAATTACGTTGTATTTGCATTTGCATATTCCAAGCAGTGCATGCATCTTATTAGAACTCCAATTTTTCAAGCAATTAAGCTCTTTTTTTTCAGGAAAGGAGATTGAAACCCAAAGGTCACAGCATAAATGACGAAAAGCAATAGAGGAGGTTGAAAATATCAGAGAGGATGTGCATTAGAAAGAAAGTGTTATTGAAGCAATATACTCCAGAACTGAAACTAGTCACCATTGTAGAGCTAAACTAACCGATAAACTCAGAATCTATAAATTAGCATTTTGAAAAAATGGATAATGATCATCAAAGATTTTTCATCAGAACCACTTCAAGTTGGTTTTTCCTCAATAAATCCATCTTGATCAGGTATTCTAATATCAGAGCATGGCACAAGATTACCAACAACTGTATATATTTAGTGCAAGTAACAACTATTGTGAACATGGCTGATTCAGAAGAATATACATAAGTGCAGGTTTATGACAGAAATAATTTGATAACAGATGCTTAATTTGAATCAGCAAATCAATCTACATGGTTTTTATAATAGCTAGTTACTATAATAAGATATTCCTCAAGTGACTATATTAATGCTGAGAATATATGACAAGAGAAGGTACATGAAAGTGTACAGGAACAATTAGTCCACTATCTACATCTCTCTGAAAAATGGTGTGATACTTGTAGCAAAAATATTCTGTAAGTGTGACCTATTGAAAAAAATTTAATTCACAACTTTTGATCAGGTGAATAATTCTATGAATAAATCCTTAAAACAGATGTAAACAACAATTAACAAATATTTATTTGGTTTTTCACAGATTTTATGATTCATTATTAAATCATTCAATTGTTTTCGAATGTTATTATTATAAACACAAGGCTATAATTATATCTAATCTTTTCCACCATGACTAGTCATACACCAAAAAAAAAAAAAAAATCAAAATCCCTTTTTTTTACTGTTTAATTTTTTTTCCAACAAGAATGTGGACAAATTAATTCCAAACTCTAGCCAAAATTTCTGGATTATTTGTGAACATTGATCTCTCAGTTCTTGTGAATTATTTGCAAATGATAAATTTGTGGCAATAGGTACATCAAGTATATAACAAACCCCAAATGATTAGGACTTACGACTTTATTGTTATATATATATATATATATATATATATATTAGGAGAGTAGAGGGACAAATGTGACAAACCCAAGTTTTGAGTACTCACATGTGATGATGCAATGTGGATTATGATATCCCCTAATGAATGTTCATGTAACTTGGATCTTTTATGGGGAAAAGCAGATCAAGATCATTAGTCTCCCAGATCAAGAAAAAAAGAAACAAACAGAGCAATTGAAGAGATAAAAACAGGAAATGCTCATTGACAGCAAATAAAGCAACTATCCTTGCATAAAGATGGAGATACTGATCACAACATTGTTAATAACTTCTAGAAAATCAATTATTAAAAGGACTTGCATTGAAACGATCTTACCGTCTTAAGAAACAATTTGTCATGGGATGTTTTGTCGTCCCAAACCAGCATGCACACTCTCACACCCTCCTGCGACTTGTACTTGAGCAGATCTCCCAATGTGAGCGCACCTCCGTTTGGCAGCGGACGTGTAGGCTCCCTCACCAGCTTCACCTTGTGGTATATCGACCAGCCGACCAGATAAATCATATGATGCGCCTCAAGAATCGCATGACAGATATCCTCCCAGCAATTCTCGTGCTTGAACATGGCGCCTTTCTCGAGATTGACTTCCGGTAGCTCACCTTCCCTCACATGGGCGTCCTGGTAGAGCGTGACAGACCCCCCTTGCCGTAGCGGAAAGTAGGTATCCCTCACCCCAAGCTTCTCCGGATCCCCAGTGATGCCGTGCTGGTACTCTGGCTTCTTCTCAACGGCGGTGAATTCCATGGAGAGGTGGAGAGCGGTGTCACGCTTGTAAGGCTTCCCATTGGCGCCGAGGATGGGGAACCAGCCTTGGATCTTCTTGCCAGAGGCGATGCGTGCGGTGGGGACGGAGACGGTGCCGATGAGCTGCGCGCCGAAGACGTCGTTGTCCTTGACGTGCAGCACGAGAGCGGCGGCGCGGTGGGCGAGGGGGATCTTGAAGTGCTCATTCCAGATGGGGTCCTCGGAGTTGGAGATGACGCGGGTGCGGGCGACGGTGGCCTCTGCGAGGCAGGCAGTGACGTAGGGATCACTGGTGATGATCTTGCGGTGGTGGTGGTGGTGATGGTGTTGCTGGTGGCGTACGGCTCCGCAGCTGTAGTTGGAGAATGGCGGGCCGCAGGAGGTGAAGCAGCGGCGGAGGTGCTCGGAGAACATGTCCATGTTGGGGAGGCGACGGGCCTCGATGACGGTGAGGACGAGGTCCCCGTGGAGAAGAACGACGCCGTCCTCGGCGGCGGTGGCGCCGCCCCTGTACGCGGGGGCGGACGCCATCGCGCGCTCCGGTGAAGGCCGAGGGAGGGAGACAAACGCGGGATGGACTATGCCAAATAGAAGCTGAGAATGGGTGGGGGGGGGGCGGTCTTCCAAGAGCGAGCCGAAGTCGGGACGCGAGAAGTCGAGCTTAAACGTAGGAGCAAGTTTGCTAGCTACGAAATCCCTTAATTCTCCTTACCGGGTTTGATTGATGCTGTCCACGCAAACCCCTCCTCACACGAGGACGGAGCAAAGCAGTCACGCTGCGTGAATCTCAAAGCCATTTTGATTGATGTTTTCGCTTTCGTCAACGATTGGACCTACAGATATTATTGGTTTTTGGTCTCGTTGACGTTACGTGCCGTGCCTTAATCATTCATTAGGCATGCCTCCTCGGGCTCTACGAGTTGAGAGCCAATCACAAGTCAGGTGTGCTTCGGGTGTAAGAATAGTTGAGATGAGGTGGGAAAACATAAAAGTCAAACTAATATCATATGACATAAATTTATTATCATCTTAATTTCAATATAATACAATTCATCGACGAGCATTACACTAAAACATTTGTCCGATTATCTTAATCTTCTAACATAGCAGATATATATTATTTATATACATAGCCATTCAATCATTTACGAGTCATTCAAGTGGGATTTACCTTAAGAGGTTCAGATATTGTATAAACGCTACATTGACAGATACGAAGAATCATTATATATATTGGCACGTTCCACGCACGTCCGACCGACGCGGTCGCAACGGCCGGCCATTGGGTGGGCACGCACCGACCGCGGATCTCAGCGTCTCGTCGATGCCACGCTACCACAGCCTGGCGTCGCACTTGCTCCGTCAGAAGTGTCCATGTCGCATCACCATCAGAACATGAATGTTCCATGTGCAGACGAATATTAAAATCAATATTACTCTTTCTTCTAATTAATGGTTCATTTTTTCGCCCATGCCCTGTGGACCAAATATGGAATCCACAGGCGGTCTTTATCTTAAATTTTTTGGTCCACCAGAGATATTTTTTCTTCCCTATTATACCAAAAATATTAAGGGCATTTTATCAAAAAAGTTTCCGGTATTGATATTCATATATTCATTTTTATTAGGGGTGTTCTTTTTATTTTATATTTAGATAAAAAAAAATCCTCAAACTTTTACTCAAATGACTTACATCATATATGTATGTTATTCAAAAAATACATAATTTTAATAATTAATTATTATAATTAAAAATAAAAATAAAAATAAAAATAAAAATACTAATCTAATTAGAATAATATCCTAGTAATTTTGTTAAATTTTGAGTTGCTGACCAAATTACACTCGAAATTAAATTGAGTTATAATTGATAATATATTTTTAGTTTTATTATTTAATATTTTAATTTATGTAAAAAAAAACTAATTATCTTGAAATTAAATTCTAATGATTTGGTAAAAGTTTGAATTGAAATTAAATTTTAATTATTTAATATTTTAATTTATGTAAAAAAATAAAAAAATACTAATTATCTTGAAATTAAATTCTAATGATTTGGTAAAAATTTAAATTGGTTTACTATAAGTTTGACCAAGTTATACTTAGAGTGAACTAAGTTATGCATTTTATTTTTTATTTTGATAATTAATTATCATAAAATATTATAAAATTTGATATTAATTATCTTATATTCATGGTCAGGTAGTTTGATGGAAGATTGAATTGATTCAATGAAAGTTGATTAAGCCATACTCGAAATTGATCTAAGTTATCCTTGTCAGGATCAAGAGTCAGGGTCGGCACTAGGGGGGATGAATTAGTGTAGTGGTAAAAATCACGTCTTCAAAAACTTCATTGCGATAAAACCATTTCCGACGAAAAACCGATTTCGAAAACTTAACTTGAAAGCGTACGTAATGAATTGAAGGCAGTAAGCACTTAAGGAAGTTTGCAGTAAGGTAATATCAAGAATGAAATGCAAACCAGAGAACACGACAGTTTATAGTGGTTCGGTCATCGTGACCTACATCTACTCCTCCGATTCCTCTTCCGTCAAGGCCATTGGCATTCACTAACGGTCTTCCTTCAATAGGCGAAGACTAACCACCTTTTACAACTCAATTCTTTTTTTACCGGGTTTAGGAGACAACCCTTACACCCTCACTCACTTCTCTCTCAAACTATTCTAACACTTAGAACTTTGAGAGGAGCTCACACAAGATTGCAGCAGCGTTTCTATACTTTTTTACTTTCAATACTTGTGTGCTTTACCCAGAGATGAGAGGGGTATTTATAGGCTTCAAGTTGATTCAAACTTGGAGCCTAAAACTTTCCTATCCCGGGTTCCCCAAGCACGGGCGGTACCACCGCCCAGGTCTGGTGGTACCACCGCCTGGGGGGTAGTGCTGGGTGGTACCACCGCCCAGATTGGTGGTACCATCGCCTGGCACCCTGCCAAGGGCGGTACAATCGCCCAAACTAGCGGTACCACCGCTTGACACAGTCTTGAAGATTGTGCCATGATGGTGAGACTTCTTGGGGTACTGTTTGGGCTTCTTATTGGGCCCAACACAGTTCTTACATGGGCCTAGCTAGCCCCTAATTGGATTGGCCCAAATCCAAACCTAATTACGTGCTAACTATGAAATCTTAAGACATTTGCTAAGCTAAACAAGTCCCTATGTCTATTCTTCCGGCGAACTTCCGACGATCTTTCGGCAATGTTCTGGTGGACTCCCGGCAAGCTCCTAGACTTCACGACGATCTTCTTGGCAAGTTCTGACGAGTTTCTCTAGCAAACTCCCAGACTTCTCGGTTGGTTTAGACAGAACTTCCGACGAACTCTCGAACTCCCAACGTGATCTCGATCTCGACTCCGAGACTTCATTTTGCTTCATGCTTTGCTATCGTAACTAATTCTGCACATATAAAAACATACTTTGATCTAGACAATTAATACAAAGCATTAATCAAGTTGTCCGGCATGTCATTAGTCCCTCGACGCTTCATCCGATTCTTCGGCGCATCGTCCTCTCTTGTGCCCTATTGCCCAATCGGCTAGTTGACTTCACAACTCCGTTATCCTTGGCACAATATCCGCTCTTCTTGGCCCGATGCCCGAATCCACGGCCCGAAGCCTTTTGTCGATACGTCGATCGTTCCTCTGGCTCGATGTCTAATCTTTTGACATGTTTTCCCCCGGCACAACATGATTTTTTCTGCTTTAATTATCTCATCCCGATCGAAGCATCCTACGTCACTCAAAACGTAGATTAAAAACATAAACACTAATCAATTGGTTTCATCATCAAAATTTGAGATTCAACGATCTCCCCCTTTTTGATGATGACAACCAATCGATGACGGAGTTAATCTTAACTCCCGGAGTTTAAATAAACTCCCCCTATTAATATGTCATATTGATAGAAACTTTTAGATTCAAAAATCCAAACAACATGTCATGATCAAATAATGCATGACATCAATATACTTCTCCCCCTTTGTCATAAAAAAAAAGGAGAAGTCCAAATATTCATGTGTTTGGAGTATTAGTTCAAATCATTACATGAAAAACATAATATCCATTTTTATCATGATGCAAGCTAGCAAAAATTTAGCAAGTGCTACATCATATTAGAACATGCAAGCTATCAAGTTTTAAATATGCAAGGTAATAAGATAGCATGTTCTACATCATACAAGCTAGCAAAATTTATCATCATTTTAGAAAGTGTAAGCTAGCAATTTTCTATCACTTTACAATATGCATAATCACCAAATCATTATTAATTTTAAAGATGTGCATGATTGCAAATTTTGCAAGTATTTTTGCTTTTTAACATTGGTAAGCTAGTGATTTTCAAGATAGCAAGCTCTTTCTTCTCTTTTGAGAAGTGTCATTTTTGCTTTCTTTGTAAAGTGCAAGCTAGCAAATTTTACATATATGAAAGTTGGCAAAGTTTTACATTTTTTAAAATTATAATTTTTATGATTCATAATGAAGTAAGAGATATTATACATGAATCAAGATCGTTTATATGTTCTCTCATGACATCTTTTAAGGTTTATGACTTGAATTTTATTGTGTAAAATTCTTTGAATTTATGAAGTATATCTCATCACCAAGTTCTTTTTGATATTCTTCATTTGATGATATTAATGCATGAAACACTTATGATATTATTTTGATGCATGCAATGATGAAATATTCATGATGAAAAATTGTTTTGATATTCATGACTTGATTTTTCATCTTTGTTACCTTACCTTTGTCATAATTTGAAAATTGATGTAAAGGGTCTTCCCTTCTTTTTGCCAATGACAAAGGGGGAGAAAGAGTTGCTAATGTGTATATCTATCTTAAAGAGAAAGATGCTAGATTGCATAATTCAAGAATAAAACAAAATTTGCTAACTTGTGCATCGCAAAGAAAAGCAACAATTGCTAGTTTGGACATCATAAACGATCTTGATTCATGTATAATATCTCTTACTTCATTATGAATCATAAAAATTATAATTTTAAAAAATCAAGAGAAACCGTGATTCATCTTAATAAATCTCCTCTTAAATAAATAACGTATATAATTCTTAGGAGATCATGAAAAATCTTGATTCATATAAAAGATTTCATGTGAAATTATGATTTCGATAAAACTCATTCAACTTCATCAAATCATTTTCATAGTCCAAGAGATTCACAAAGGTATAATATACATGGATTCATTAATCTTTTATCGAAAAATTAATAAGATAGAGATGTTTCATCTTAAGTTATTGGTTTCATACAAGTATGCGTTTATCTTTTTATTAAAAATAAAAATATGCATCAACTTTTAGGATTGAAAAGTGAATTTCATCATAAAAACCATCAAGACCAATAAATCACAAATATTATCATGTATAATTTTAAAATCTCATGCATAAAGTCGTCAATCATGGTATCAAAACATTTAATATTTTCATTACATCATTATACATTACTTCAAATCAAACATGATTTCATTTAGTCATAATGAAAATCAACATGATACACATTATTACTTCTTAAAAAAAAACCATTCATGGGGATTTAAATCTAACATTTTATTCCATTAACATAAAACAT